ACCGCTCAGCCTGGCCACCAAAACGGGCATCACAGATGATGCACCAAAAAGCATCACCCGTGATGAGAGCCCCGAGCTGACGGTGGGAAGCCAGGAGCCACTGAAACTCAGCAGCAGGAGGGGAAAATCCCTCCCCTGCTGCGAGCCAGACGAGGCACATGGGACCACGACTACCCCCAGCTTGGACCCCAGCCCACCCACCGCCTTGCTGGATGCAGGTTTAGTGCTTATCTTCTCACTGATAGCTAATCTCTTCTTCACCATGCCCAGCAATAGCTTCCCGCCCCTCTCTGGTCAGCCCCCACGTTGTTCATCAGCAGCTTTGACACGAAATAAACTCACTCCTGTTGCAAAGAGAGACAGCTGAGATGCAGCACTGGGTAACTGGTGCTCCCAGTACAGCACACGGACTGCTCCCCGAGTGCATATGTCCCTGGAGTAGGGCCGGTGCTGGCTGCAGGGATGAATGGCCTCCACTGAAACACCTCTCGTGATCTCAGCTCCTCCGAAGAGGAGGGCTCGATGTGCCCAGTGACCACGGGAACTGGGATAACCAGGAGATCTGTTTAAAAGTTCACTCCCAACCCACACAGACATGTCCCGGCATGCACAGTGCATATGCATCTTCTTTTTCTTTTCTTCAAAGCACTACAATCACTGGGAAAAAGAAAAGCTGCCTCTGTGTTGTGGCCTGGGTCAGGAGCTTTGCTGATGGAAGAAAACGAGCAGGGATGTGGGCAGAGCCAGAGCTGTGACTTGCAGGGATGGATGCCTGATGTCAGCGCTGCCCCCGGCACATGGCCACATCCTGCTCACGCCAAACACCAGCAGGACCTCCACAAATGCTCTGGGGATTTCTATGGAGGCAAAATATTTTTCATGTGGATTAATAACCCACATTGCTCCCTGAAGCATGTCACCTTTACTGATGGCTACAGAGAAGGCTCCCGAGGCAGCAGAGATGGTCCATTGTCCAGACCAACACAGCCCCCCCACAATTAACGAGAAGCAGGGTCACACCCTCAAAAACAAGAGCAAAACTCCAGGGCTCAGGTGGTAGCTGCTACCTGTTGTCCCAGGCAAGAGCCCCCGGCTCTCAGCCTGCTGGATGGAGCTGCAGAGGAGCCCTGCGGGCACGCAGCATGTCTCCAAGGTCCAGAACATCGTCGTCACTTTCCCCAGCCATTCCCAGTGTTCCCCACCCCACTGCTCCTCCTAAGCATCACCCTGATACCAGGCTCCTTTGTCCATGTCACCCATCACTTTGTGTCATCCAGCTCCCCCCATGTGGCACACAGGGCTCTTGGGACCACGGGGCCCCAGCCAGCAGCATTGCCCCCAGCTGATGCCAGCTGCAGCTCCCCAACCCCAACCCAGCCTTAGGGTGCAAGCAAAGACAGAGATCCCCCACGTGCAGGCAGAAGCAGGATCACGTGTGCAAAGGGAAACCCTTCGGGCAGAGAAAGAAAGAGCCCAAGTTCAACAGAGATCACCAAAGGAGAGCATTCTGGGAGAAGGACAGGGACAAAGCAATGCCCACACACACACAGCTCTCACTCACCGGCATCCCAAACAGCGGCTTTGGAGCGGGTCATACCAGACTTGTAACTGATTATAAAAGAGCTTCAAATTTAGGAGCAAGTTGCATTTAGTACACAAAACTTTCAACACCAAATAGCCCCAAAATGAATCCTTTTCTCCTACCCACTAGTTGGGTCTCAGGAGGTCACAGGAGGGGCCAAAGCAGAATCCTCCTTTCAAGTCCTCCAAAAGCCACAGGCAGCACTCCTGAGGGATGCCTGGATGCACCCGGCAGAGCCCAGCACTTGCACAACCACCTGGCCAAGAATCCGATGAGCTTTACCAAGCATGGCGGACACAGGCTAGGACCTCATCCCCAAGTCATGTCCATCCCAGCTGTCCTCAGCCCCCAGCACAGGGCAGGACCCACAGCACTTGCCCCAGGTCCCCCCAGGGGTCACCAAAGTGGGTTTGGATGGTGAGACATGGGGTGTCCTCCATGCAGAGGGGAGCAGCACATAGGGCTGGCTGCCAGGCGTGTGGGTAGGAAGAAGGGTCTGCAGAAGACTGAGGGGTGGAAAATGATGCAAACATGGGTGCAGCATCTTCCCCACCTCCATCCAGCGGGAATGGAAGGTGTCCCTGAGCAAGCGGGAGCACCCTGGCACCCTATCCCCAGCACCTAGGGCAGGATGCTGGGAACAAGGCGGGGACGCTGCTCACATCCCCTCTGCCACCCCAGGACATGATGGCAGTTTTGCTGGGAACCAGCTCAGCAGATGACGGGCAGCCAAGGAGGGACTGCTACCCGCATCCCCCCCCCGCCTAGGCACGGCACAGGGCTGGAGCTGCGGCTGCTCTGGCTCCTGAAATGCCTCCTTAGGAAACTCAGCCTGTAATTTGAGGAGGGGGCACCAGCGCCCTGCGGCCCTGCTGAATGGAGCCATTATGCGGGCCCTCACTCGCAGCACATGTTTTCCTTGTGGACTCATCTGACCTCACGGGCAAGATGTAAAGGTGCATTTATGGCCCGGGCCCCCCATAAAGGGCAGGGGATCCTGCTCTCCTAGCCGGGAGGGAGCGGCTGTGAGTGCTCTGCCCCCTTTCCTGGGGCCAGCCTGGCCCGGGAGCCCGGCCAGCACCAAGCCAGCACTTCTCGCTGCGGAGAAGCCTGGCCCGAGGTGATGCTCTGCAAAGCAACCCATGGTACAGAGCGCCCTGGGTTTTTTTTTGGAGCAGGGACAAGTCAGTCCCAGCTCCCAGGGCCCTGCTGCTGGCTAGGCAGGCTGGATGTGGTCCCCGGAGAGAGCTAGACAGTGCCAGCACCCACCCTGAGAAACCAAACGCAAAGGTCCTGGCTCTGCCAACTCTGCCATCCCAAGCAGCACGGGGCAGGTCCACCAGGATACCC